TATATGGCTCTATGTTGTAATTATTTTAAAAAGCTTTCAGTTTATTTATTTCTGAGAGGGAGAGAGAGAGAAAGAAAATGAAAAGGGGGCAGGGAGAGAGAGGAAGAGAAAGGAGAGATATCCCCTATCGAGTCTTTATGCCACTGTCTACTTTCATCCTCAGCTTGCCCAGACCATGGACACATGTACTCAGACCTCACAGACCTGTCTTGTACAGGTCAGCCTGGAACCTGAACCCTGATCTTCCATGTGACCTCCACCACTGCAGAGTGGTGTGTTACTGCTGCATAAGGAAAGCTAGGTCTCTTGTAATTACTGAACATATTCCCTATGTCCCTCTTTACTTTAAAAATATGTGTAAAATGGAGTCATTGTGTCTTTACATATTTGATACAATTTTGTGAAACCATTTGGACCTGGATTTTTGTCTAGGGGAGAAGACTTTAAATAAAGGATTATATTTCTTTAACAGATGAGGGTTATTTGGATTTCATTTTTTTTAGCTTTAGAAATTTGTGGTTTTCAGAAATGCATCCATTTAATCTAGAGTATTAAATTTATTGGTATAAATTTTTTCCTTGTATTTTTCTGTTTGGAGATTACTTTTTGCCTTTAAATTAACTGATCTCTTTTTTTGTAGGATCTAATTTGCTTTTAAGTTCATTCAATGAATTTTAAATCTCAGAAATTGCATTTTGCAGCTCTAGAAATTTAGTTTATTTTATAATTTGTTCCATTTCTTTTCTTGTATTGTTCATAATTTTTAAAAATTCCTTGAACATATATATAATACTTATTGAAAACCTTTTCTGCCTATTTATCCTCTCAGTAATTGTGGGACTTATATAGTGATTGATTTTTCTTATTATGACTCATAGTTCCCTGCTTCTTTGCATATCTAATAAGTTTGTATTGGATGCTGAACATTATGAATGTTTCATTATTGACTACCTGGATTTTATTTTCTTCTTTTAAAAAGTATTGAGCTTGTTTTGTTCAGAAAGCTGAACTGACTGGAGTGAGCCTGATATTTTCTTTATTTTTTTCAGTTTTTAGTATGCATTTACCATTCACTAAATTATTTTCTAAAAAAAAAAATTAGACAATAATTATATTAAAATGTATCAAAATTGATCAAAGCTTATAAAGATAACAAAAAATAATATCAAAGTATTATAAACCAAATATAAGATATGAACACTGATCTGTGAATAAGCAAACACATATTTAGTGAAATACTCCTGTTTTATAAGAAAAGATTTGAAGTGAATGAAATAAAATACAAAATACAAAGACAGCTTATTACAAAGCAGATTAAAATGAAGTCAAAGATTGGACTATAAAGTGACTTAGTAGCTGTGGCTTTTAAATGTGAAAGTATGTACAGTTAGAGTTTTTCTTTAATGTAGGTGGACTTTGGGACCAGAGGTTGGCATAATGATTATGCCACTGGACTCCCATGTAGTCAACCACAGTCTGAGTCCTGGACCAGGCGGCTTAAAACACTCAGGCACATGTGCGTTTGTGACCAAAATCCTGAGAAGAGCATGGAGGAGAAGGAATTGCAGCATGACCATCTCCCCCCTGGAGTGTGATTTTTCGCTTTCTTACTCTGTTTCTCTATGTGTCTCAGCTGAACACATATGCCCTATAACAAAAACCTCTCTCTAAAATAAGTAGCTAGAATAACTATTCAGAGACTCTAGCACTCATTTGGAGAGTGGAGTGAGGGAGAAAGGATTGCCTTCATATAAAAGTAAGGAGGTCCTATTTTCAGTGTTTTGTTTTTAAGTTTAGTCAGGGTTGGTCTACCATCTCTTTTATCATCTAGAAAAGTTAGGCCTCCTTCTAAGTCATGACTTTTCTCTAATCTCTACTGGATACTCATAGTGTTCACGAAGGTTTTTTTAGGTAGGTATGTCCAGCTTTGTTCAAGCTCCAAAAGCTGTTAAGTTGATAAGTCCTTGGTATTCACTTCAATCTTGGAGTAGTCCTAGGCATGGACAGCTTTATTCCGCCAAAGACTCAAAGTAATCCTTTGAGATTTCCTGAGCTCATGCTCTCTCTTCTCCCTTCTTTCCATTACTGTGTCTTGGTATTCTAAACACCGTAACATCTTCAAACTCCAACTAGCAAGATGTTTATATTTTGCATAGGTTCCACCTTCTCCCCTTGCCTCTGCTCAGAAAGCCTGGGTGATCACAGAGTTTGTTTGTTTGTTTATTTCACTTTCTTCAGAGATCACTATGTTGACTGCCTATTGCTCAAAGTCTAGAAGCAATATGTTACATATTCTATCTAGCTTTCTAACTTAATATAGTAGGAAGGCTAGTCTAATATCAGTTGCTTCAAATGTAAGGGCTCATAGTCCCAAAATACAATTATTATAATCAGAAATTGTTTAACGCAGAAGAAATTTTTTCCTAGAAAACATAATTTCTAAATCAATTTGCTATGTAGCATATACGAATACCTTTTTCATTTTAAAACAGACTCATTTCTTTTGAATAAAGTAATTCTGTGTAATTTTTAGAATTGACGACATGATCCATTGATAAAATTGGTGCATATTAAGTTTTATTTGGCATAGCTTCTGCAATCTATCATACTAATTTTCTCTGGCAAAATTTACCAATGACGTAATTATGGCCAAAGACAATGTTATCATTCAGGCCTCATTTTATTTAATTTTAAAATATTTTTTTCCCATCACTTGTGAATCATGATTCCCTCCTGGTAGTTCTCCTTCCTATTTAAAAATTCTCATTTGCTAATTTCTCTTCTGATGATGATGACTAGAGGGTTTGTGTTTTTGAGGGCTCTGCTGCTGAGACTTTTTTCTCCTGACAGGTTTCCCTCTGTACAAATTCAGTACTCTTTAAGTTCTAATAATCACCTATTTTGATGACTTCCACATCTGATAAACAGATGATTTTATCTAGCCCAGGCTTCTCTGTCCTGAGCTTGCGACTCAACTGTCTACCACAGAGATTTGTCTCAGATACTTCACATGGCCTAAACTGACCTCATCATCTTCCGCAAACCTACCTTTCTTTCTGAATTTCTCATTTCAGAAATTCACCAAGCTGTTCGTGCCCAGAAGCCAAGAGTTTCCCTATACTTACACCCCATCTCCCCAACCTTGGTGTCTAATCATCACTAAGTCTTTTCTCTGATATCTTCTTAAAGTCCCACTCCTCTGGTCATGGCGCAGGCCCTTTTCATCTGCATCTTGTTATGGTGACACACTTCTAGCGCATATTGATCTGCAGTGTGACACTCCTTCATGACAGTTTTCACATTGTGGCCATTGTGACTAGCTAAGGAAACTGGCTAATATATGGTACTCAGCTGTTCAAAATAATCAGTTTTCCACTTTACTTATGGCTCAGGGTAATATCCATGTTCCAGTGTATGGCAAGGAAAGTCATTAACATGTCTGTCTCCCATGTCTGTCTCCCATGAATATTAACTATGACTTAGTGTGCTGCAGAAAAACCAGAACAATCACAAGCTACTGAAATTGCCTTAACATTTCTTTAACTGTCTCTTTTTACCAACTCCCACTCCCAATACATATTCTTATATCTACTGGCACACTGTAGATATGTTGGGTGAAAAAAATGAGTAAATAAACGCTGTAGTAGAATTACCATGCACACGCACACGCACACGCACGCACACACACAGCCATGCACATAATCATTTCTAATAAACATTTTGCCATTGCTAACTTACTTAGAGTTTGTAGGATCATTTTGAAGCCCTTTTATTATTATTATTTTGAGACTGAAGAAAGGCAGAATCTTCAACTGCACAGGTGGTATAAGTATTTGGTTACAGTAACCAACTGGCATTATAGAACTTTATTGTAAACAACATGTCGGATTTATAATGCTCATAGAACATGTTAAACACAGTAGCTTTCTCTTCCTCATATTTCTTTTTTCTCCACTTATTTATAGGCACCCTTTTTTACTTTCTCAGAAATGCTTTAAGAATAAATAGCTGACACTCCTCAACATGCAGTTTAAAACCTTCATTGCAGAAACTGTACTATATGGTGGGCAGAAAAACTGGTATAAATAGTCAAAAATTTCTCTTAAATGAAAACCTTTCTTCTTACTAAGCCGCAGACTAAACAGAAAGAAAAAAAATGGAGATATATACAGAGATGCAGAGGGGACAGATGATATAAAATAATATTGATTTTCATCATCAGAGAAAGAAAACTAACCGCACATATACAGGTTAACTGCTTAGTCAGTTCTTGCTAGGAACCTACTGGCTATTCTAAGATCAACTGTGACAAGTAATGTACTCTCATGGGTCAGTTTGAGCCATCTGGAGAATCGTTGATGTGTTCTCAGTGCTCTGGTAAATTATAATTAAAGCTGGTTCTATAAATACAGAGAGAGATGGAGAATAAGGGTAAGAGAAAGAGAAACAGGCAAACACTCACTTCGCTATAGTTATATAAGAAGGATATTTGAGCATTTGGTTCTAGTCTGCAGCTGTGTGAAGGAAAGAAAAAGAAATTAAGGGATTCTGGCACAGAGATCATTCCACCACATTAGTTTAACTGTAAGTATAATAGGAAACGATGATCATTGCTGAGCTATGACACCCATTAATACAGGCTGCAGGGAGGAATTGGAAAGCTTGTGAGAGGGTCTTTGAAGGCAGAAATGGGATCTTACAGAAAAGGTGGGGAAAGAGAACAGAATAGCAGCCCCCCTTTTTTTATACTGTGTTGATTTCTTTTCAAAGCACATACACAATCACAGTATGGCACTTTCTGAAATGAACAAAAAGACAACTTCTTATGATAGACTAGCTTATCCCTTGATGAGCCATGAAATTCTCTATTAAAAATGAATAAAAGTCATGATGCTAAATCAAATTCTTTGCAGCAGTGTTTTGTTTCTCAGACAGGCCTTCATGTTTCCAATTTCCAGATTCCTGCAGGTTAGATAATATTTTCCAAATACTTGCAGGGAAAAAAATACAAAATACAAAATACAGAAAGTGAGGCTATGAACTTGACAAGAATCACCTAGACAAGGACAAGTCACCACCTCGGCATGACCCTTCCTGACTTCATCTTTCAAAGCAGCCAGATGTCCCATGGTATAACCTCTAAGGTAAGTAATAAGTGTCATAGGACCAGTAGGTTGGATGATGGTTAAGGTGTGGGCTCAAATGGCCCAATATGGGCTTGAGTCCCAGACCTGGCAGCTTGAAACTCATGCTGGGCACGTGTGCATGTGTGTCCAAAATCCCAAGAGGAAAATGGGGAAGAAATTGCAGTGTGGCCATCCCACTTGGCGGGGGGGCATGCTTTTTCATTTTTTTCTCTTGGTCTCTTTCTGTCTCTCTGGCGAGTGCACATGCCCTACAGCAAAAATCTCTCATATAAATAAATAAAAGAATAACTGTTAAGCTACCTTATTCATCAGACATTCCATGATGTTTTGGTGATAATTAGGGCAGTCATAAATCCTCTGCTTCAGGAAGGGAATACAGAAAGAAGAGAAATGAGACTACGACAATACCAGAGCAGAACCGGTACAGGGATTCTCTTAAAAATGTACCCTGTAAGTCTCTAGCTTCTACAGGGTCCATTTCAGTATGTTTAGTTTATGTTTTCATTTAAGCTTAGCCAATCCAATTTTCTTTAAGCCCACATTTCAGCCTATATAATAAGATAACTTGTAGAGAGAGAAATTATTAACAATTATTACTAGAAAGTATCACCTGAAAGACATAAATGCTTTATCTTCAACAATCATAGTCACTCAAGGGCAAATTAATAACTACTCTGAAATTTGTGAATGCCTTTAGTACAATTCAATGCATCTCTATTCTGAGTAATGTTTCTCCAACACAAGCAAAAAGCTAGCTGAACAAATAGATAGTCTACTTTAGAGTAGAATCCAGCTGGCATATTGTAGACATTTGGTAGTAAATAGATGTCAACTACACTGATGAAAAGATGATAAAGCAGCCTGATCTATTGAAGTTACTTCCTATCCTATCCTTAGGGGGTTTTTCTATTTTCTAATGAAGTAATTCACTCTCTTTTTAATCAGATCAGAAGCCAGTTATTTAATGAAACTCTGAATGTACATATATGAGTATGAAAGTCAACAATATCAGTCAAGTAAATGGAGTATGTAAATCATTCATATTATCATAAGAATATTGGTTATACCTCCTAAAATATGTAAAAAATTGTGAGAGGTTGAAAATGAGCTATAATTTGAAAAAAGTTACCTAGAAATTACTTTATTTAAAATAGAGAGGATAATAAAGAAACATAGAAACATGATTTTTGTGAAAACTTAAAAAACAATGCACACATTTTCTTCTGACCCAGTGTTTCTAAAGAATAAAACACAGTGTACCAATAACATTGATTAATGAACATGAAGTGGGTTAGAAAGGCCATAAGAATGAGAAATATACTTGAACAGGTCACTCAGGTAATTCTTATGTGCTCCCTTTCCCTGACTCTTCTCGCTAAGAATAACTTGTCCATTTTTCAGTGGACTCAAAATTATAGAAGCACTAATGAAAATTTTGGGGTCATTAAGTTCTGTCCTGTGACCATCTATTATAATTTTATAATAAATAAAGACGTTAGTTAATCAGCATGCATTTTTCAATACTTGAGGATAATGTGTGTATAAATTGCACTTACATCTTCTTAGCTTGAAATAGTCCAAAGAACATACAGAGTTTAAACCTACCTGAAACTGAGTCTCCACCTTAAGGAAATAGCTGAACCTCTTTCTTTCTCAGTGTCTAGTAAAATAGGGATAGTTTCCCACTCACATGGTTCATAAGGACATTTGATGAGAAAGCATAAAGAGTTCCTGTACCATATCTAGCATATAATACCTTCTCAATAGAACACCCAGTAAGGTAATTACTCTTTCTGCCATTTTAGTCAGTCACTCGGTTAGACTTTAGCAGCTATTTTTGAGCAGGCAGTTCCAATTGTGACATTCCTACAATTTCTTTTCCTTTTGAGACTGGCCAATGACTGGAGGTTCCTTAACAGAGCTGGGCCATAGCTCTTTTATGGTACTCCAGTGGGAATAAGACCCAACCTGGGAGTAATGCATCCACTGGAGTTGGACACAGAGGGTCACAACTGGTCATGGAGGAGGGCCTGGCCAGAGAGGCCAGTGCTCCCAGACCAAGGCTGAGTCTGCTCTGTGCTCGCTAATTATTGCCATTCCTTTCTAATTTTTCTTAATTTTGCCTTTATTATTCTTTCTCATCATACATGTTGACAACAAACATGCTGTCATTCCAAAGCATTGCTCTTATATTAGACATTTTTGTCTATGAGAAACACGCTTTGCTGATCGTTTCAGTATTCAACATTTGTTGCTACTTAAGAATCAGCCCTTCCTTTGGTGGAGAACAACAGACTATTTAACTCTTTGGCTACCTTAGTCAGTTATTTGAAGGAGATATAAGTCAGGGTCAACTTTTTAGAATTTTGCTCAAAAATCTTTGCTCTCAGTCAAATGTTACTTTTATTTATTTAGATAGTTTTTATTGACATGTAATATTTGTACATTTTGGGGGGCTACAGTATGATTTTTCAGTAAAAGAATACAGGCTGTATTGATCAACTCAGTGTGACTAGCATATCCAACATCTTGGCCATTTTTTAGAGTTGTAAAATATAATAAGGTAGGGACCAGCAGTTAGTGTAATGGCTATGTCCCTGGAGTCCCATGTAATCGACCACGGTTCGAGTCCCGGACCCGGTGGCTTAAACTCACGCCAGGCACGTGTGCGTGCGTGCCCAAGAACCCAAGAAGAGAATGGAGGAGAAGGGATTGCGGCATGGACATCCCCCCTGCAGGGTGATTTCTCACTTTCTATCCCTTTGTCTCTCTCTGTCTGCCTGGCAAGCACACACGCCCTATAGCAAGAATCTCTTCAAAAAAATATAATAAGGTAAACATAGTTAATAATTTACTCTATATCTCAGAATAACTAATAAAGAAGACTTTGAATGGGCCAAACACAAAGTAATGACAAATACTACTTTTTAAATGGGACTTGTTTCTTGGGTCTGGCCCCAAGATCTACTCCTTGATCTAAAAAAAAAAAAAAAAAAAAAAAAAAAGAGTCATTGGAAAATTGTTCCTAACAGAGATGTTCAACCTCCAAATTCAGAGATTTTGTGCTTCATTATCCAAATTTCTATTTCTTCTTTTTCCTTTTCAAAAAGAATTTGGTATGATCTGATGAATATCCAACTTAAGTCATAAGGTTGAAAAAGAAATGAATTCTAGTTTATTGCTTGGTGGTGGAGATGTGGAGGAATTTAACTTGCTCTGACTCATTCTTCTTGTCCGTGTAATGGGGATGGTCATTTTCATAGAACTTTCTCCATTTAAATTTACTACCTGGACACTTTCACTAGAGTCTAAATCCAAGGGCCATTCTCACTGAGCCTATATAGCTTTAGAGTCTTGTAGATGGAGTTTGGAATACTCCAGGTTTATGAGTATGAGCCTTTTTATACTACCCGCAGTGCCAATGTGTGACATCCTTAGAGGAAATAAAAGGATTGTGGTGGCTCTTTCTTCTGGACTCCAACATTTGATGAGAGATCTTTACCTCATCTGACACCCACAATGATAGCAGTAAGAGTCTATGGTTTCTATGGCTATGTTGTTGGCTTTAGATCACTTCAAAAGATAAAACAGAAATTTGATTGTTTGGGATCAAGTAAGATTTGGCTTCTCAGAGAACTGAAGAAACAATATAATTCTTAGTGCAGTATTTTATTGTAAAGTGGTAATAGCTCTGTCAGCATTGTTTGAAGTGCTTACCTGATCAAGGAAACAACTAGTTATAAGCAGTTTATAGAACCATAAACCTATTACAGCCAACCTTGGGGTCTCTGTACCTCGAATGACCTCTTTCTCAGAACTTTGATTTGAATCTTATTCCTGAGACTAAAAAAAGAAAATCTTCCTTTTCACTCTGCTTCGTAAGGAATTTCTTTACTCTTTTCTAAGCTTATCAGTATATCACCTTTAGATTCAGTTTAGCAGATCAACTGTGACCTTTCCAATTGAAACCAAACATCTTCCTTTTTGTCAACTGGAGATTGTGGCTTTGGGCATGAAATTACCTGAAGTGATTTATTCACTTTAGCATATGAACACAGGCTCACTCAGACCCACAGAACAGATGAATTCCCTGATAAAATGAAAGAGACCATTTCAGAGTAGAAATAACAACTCTAGATCTGAGCTGCATTTGCCTGGAGAATTTTGACTGGTTTGTACCAGATGACTCATTTTACAGTAAATTCCGAGTCTGTGGTCAGAAAATTCGTGCATCTGAGTCAGAGAGAGGAGAAGCTGAATAAAACAGGAGCCAACAACCTGGCATTCTACACAGCAGAGCTAGGAAAAGCCAGTCTCTAATAAACCGGTTCCCGAATTGTCTTTCTGAGGATATCTGTATGTTGCAGAAGGCTCGTTCTTCCTGCAGAATCTTCTGTGCCTTCCTGTGAGGCGACTGTGGAAGCAGGACTTTCTGTGCTCTTGTACCTTAATCACTTGTGCGGCAACACAAGAGTAATATTCTTGTATCATCCAGCCAGCTGACAAGAAGAGATTAAACATTATTTCAACAGCAATACATTACAACTCCAAATTGGCCCATGGAACTGCAGTGACCTCCAGCAAACCCTCCCTGTATGACTCAGAAGCAAGAGGCAGCCAGCTTGTGGCGAGATGGATTTTGGGAAAAGGCAAATTCAGACTTTTCCACCTCATTGGTTCAGTATATGCTGCCGACCCAGAGCTGTCTGACACAAAGGAAGAAACTAGCTGAGAGTCCCTTAAAGCGTGTTCCTGAAAGGGCTCAAAGGAAATTTATTTTAATGAGAAGAATTGCTGCCCACAGTGATTTAAAATCCTCATGGCCACCATGGGTCTGTGTGAATGCCAGGTCTCTTTGTTGAGCACTTACTGTGTACCTGCACAACAGAAATGGACCCTAAGCCAAGAGGGCAGCCCTGAAGTCTCTCTTGTCCTTTGTTCCCTGCACGTGGCAGATCAGATTTTTGCAGTTTGAGTTCAAGTCTGCCAATTTGCAT